TGTTGCAGGAAGAACTTAGCCGTGAAGTCGACCTGTGTTGTAGAGGGGGGGATGAAGTGAGGACACCAAGCAAGTCCAATCTAGGTTATCCACAGACATCAAGGCCAGAGAGGAAGGCGGCCAAGGAGAGGGGGAGGAAACAGTTCGGTCCAACTACAGCTTTATATTTGGATGTCTTTTATACATATATATGTTTGGGAATGCAATGCTCTTACTCATACATAAATGTTCTCTGTACTTAATGATATAATCATATATCATATGGTAAAGTAAATCGGTATTTATAATTTATATATGATCAGCCCTTTTATGTGCAAAAAAGGCTTCATTTGAGACAAAGGTGAATCATCCAGCTCTGTTGTCATCTTTTCTCATACAGAAGTGGGGAATAGAGAAATCACGTGTTCCTGTTAGTTGCTAGTTTCATTTTGGATGCCTGTGCCGTGGTTTCCCCTTCTCTTTTTCCTTAGCCAGAAGCTTGAATAGCCTGTTAACATCTGCAGATCGGCTGGAGGCCACAAAAATCGACCTTCCTTTATGCTCAAGTAAAAGAGTGTTGTGGAAAATACGGCAGTGAATGGGAACAGTGAGAGGCCAGTGCGAAGCAGCTGATTTTCCCTCTCTCTCCCGCTCTGTCTCTCTTATTCTCCGAACTCCCCCACCCCATGCCCCCACTGCTTTCGTGAAAGGAGCTATTGTCTCTGGCCTGGATTGAAAAACTCACACAGTACTTTTCCTTTGAGGACTTAAAAAACTTGCGTAAATGAAAAGCGGTTTGCAGTTCATGTCCAGTGCGTACAGTACGCGTGCAGACTTTTCTGTCCACACACATGCTTCTTCACACACACCTTCTTAAACCAAAAACACAACACATCCTCATCCACATGGGTCATATAAGGCCGCTGACAGGTGTGTGTGTGTGTGTGTGTGTGTGTGTGTGTGTGTGTGTGTGTGTGTGTGTGTGTGTGTGTGTGTGTGTGTGTCTGACAGCTCGAGTCTGCTGAGAAATCTCAGATTCCAGGCCCTCTTAGTCTGCTGGCCGCCGAGCAAAGCTCCGCCTCTCTTTACCTCCACTGCCCCCCTTCTCTTGTCACCCAGAGCCTGACACATGCAGACCAGCTCTGATCGCTGCTCATCACACTGTGTGGAGGCCTGTCACAACAGTCCGTTGTGCTGCTTGCGATAACTTAGTTTGGAGAAATCCCTGATCTCTGGATGAGGCATGTAAACATGGGACCTGTAGCTAAACTTTTACGGGCCTTGGAGGAGTTTTGAGGTCAGAGTGGGAGGGTTAAACTCTCCGGGCTGGACTAAAGCAACCTGCAGCCATGGCTGGACGTCAAGACCGACCCAAAGCGGCCACTCTGCCGTCCCGTTCCTGCAGCAGCGTCCCGGGGACCGGTCGATTGCAGAGGCGCATGGCCTTGTGCAGGATGGAGGACTGCACCTTTGACAGCTTTGAGTTGCTTTACAGTGGAGCTGTCGATAATTTCAAAAGCCATAAAAGTAACCTCAACCTCAGTAAGTTTGCCATCTTTGGAATATAAGCCGGACGTGACTAACACAAGCCAGCCTGTTTTAAAAGTGTTCTGAGGTCTGTAAGGTGCTCTAAACTTTACATTTTAAATTGCTGAATCCATGAAGGTATTTAAAGGTTACATGTAAGTGTGAATGATTTGATTTTTCCTCAGTTTATCAAAGAAGTTTTAACCAGATGAGGTATGTTTTTGTCACATTTGAGTTGGGAACCAGGACTCATCTGTCCAGCTAAATATAGCATCTCTACCTCAGTAGTGGATCAGGACCATAAAAAATTCATTGTATAGGTTTGGGCTCTACTAGCTCTAATAATGGTGTGACGAGACAAAAATGAAAAATTACATGTATGCTTTGATTTAGGAAATTTCTGTATAGTGGTTATTATTGTCACAAATCCTCATCAGCATTCAGGAATGCAAACATTTAGTTTTATTTTGGCTTTTTGACTCCAATTATTCAAAAAAGAAACTGCTATGTGTCTGCGTAACACAAATCTGGATACAGGGCACAGAAATCCCGCCCACCTTTTGTTTAAGAGGGGCAGCCAATTGGAAGAAAGCCGGCCTGAAGCGAGAGTAGACTTAAAGTAAGAGGGGATTGAAGTGCTGCATTAGGGCCCAATATGAAATGGTTAAGAATTACTTTGAAGTGTGAGTCATGCAACACTACTCCAGTACAATTTAAAAATGTGCATAACGATTCCTTTTAACCTGGTACAAATAAAACACCGTTAAGCAGTGCAGAACCTCCATCATTTCCATAATCTGCCCTCAGCATCCAAACCTTCCTTATAAAATAATGTATCATGTGTAAAGTTCATAGTGATGTTTTTGTAGCTTTTCTACAGATATTATGGTTTCATTCAAAGTCTGCAAAGAACAGAAGGTCAGCATGATTAAAAGTGACATCTCTTTGCATGGCATTTAGCTAATCCCCTGTCTGTGTTACACATAAATGGTCTAGTTACTAGCTTTCGTAATGGCTGAAGAGACCCTGTGATGTGGCAATCCAGGATGAAGATTTATATATAGAAGTCAGCAATCCAGTTTTAGGTGCAGAACAGGCATGTTGACAGTATTATTAATATGCTATCTGATGTAGAGGGCCTCTGTGGAACAGAAAAAAACAGATTGTACTCTATCCTTCCTCGTCCGACACACATAGCGTACAGTGCCAAGCTGTGCTGTATCACACACTTGTGGCCCCACTTCCAGTGCAGTGTTATGGACTCTGCAGCATCTCTATTTCTGGTGTTTTGAAGGTTATGGACAATGTGGAAGGAAACTACAGAGAGGGAATACATGCACGGGAAGGAGTGGAGCATGGGAGAAAGAAATTGGGGGTGGGGTGCAGGGAGTGGTTGTACGGAGCGGCAGCGTACGAGTGGGCATTAGTGGTAAAAAGCTGTGAAAACCACCCAAGTCATCTTATTAAGAAAGAGATCCTGTGGTTGGTTTGGTTATCATGTTACTTGACTTGAAGGTCCTTCAGCAGTTTCATCGGACTGCTCATCAGTGTTGTGGAAATAATGCAGATATTGTGGTAGAAACCAAAGCAGACCTAATGTTGCAGACACTGCTCCAGGTGATCACAGATGCTGCTTCAAGTCTGTGATCATGTTTCCAGCTTATTTACCACTTGTGGCTCCTCCTCACCAAAAGTTAATGCAGGTTGTTTTCAGAGTATTGTCATTATCAATTCCTTTTCTGTACAGAGTGACTTTGCTTATGTTACACTAAACTCAAAGCTAAACTACTGCTTGTATCATACCCGCTGCTGCTGCTAGTCTTTTAATGTAATAGGTTTAAAGTTGGCTGCAGATCTTATGGCACAGGGCAACCATTAAGCAGCTTAAGCCCATTGCGACCTTTGGCCTGTGTTTTGCTTACTGTTATGTACACAGAGGCACGTTTTCATACATATTTGAATGCTGTGCCGATGGGAGGAGAGACACAGCCACTGTTGAATGTATGAGAGGAGTCATTTTGCATTTTGGGAAGTAAGAGATAAAATGATGGTTTGTTTTTCTTTAATGCACCACTGCAGAGGATTTTCAAAAGGAAGACTTCAAAGAGAGCCAAATTTTCCCAAACTGCTCTGAGTAAACTAGAAATGCAGAAGAAGAATCTGAGGCAGACGCATTATACTGGATGCATGTCCTCTCAGAGGCAGCACCCCAGGTTGAAGCCAGCGCTGTAGCTGCAGGAGGTTCTGCCAATGAATGTTTTATTAGTGTTAATGGGATGTAATAAAGGACTAGAGTGAGCTATGAGGCTGGGTGATGAGAAAGAGAAAGTGGCAGCTACAGTCTTGTAATCTGAATCCTCTCCTCGGGTGTGCGATGTTCTGAGAAAAGTGGGTGATTGGGGAGTTGCGCTGCTTTCATTGCTTTCTTTACTTTCAGCACTTTGCTACTTCAAGAACATGTTGCACCCGTTTCAGGTGATGTTTCTCGTTTTTAACTGAGACACCAACTTGTGTGCTTTTGAGGGTGTTCACAGTGGAAGTGGTGCTACAGCAGGGCATGATTGTCCTCGAAGAGGCTTTGCTGATAATCAGAAATATTTCTCTTTAAGGTGGACTCGATCTGTCCTTTTGATTTTTGCGATTGCTTATTCGAGCATCTAATGGGTAAGTGGGTACTGATTGACGGGTGCACGTGCACACATTTCTGGCCTTCTCTTCTCCAATATTCATGTGCTCCTTTATTCAGGGGCAATAGAGTGTGAGACAGTGCTGATTTTGCACCCCAGGCTTTGAAAGTGCCGTTACCTGAAACCAATTGAAGCCATCACATGATTGACAAGGAGGAAGTGAGGAGGAGAGGTGAAGGTTATAGGCTATAAACGGGAGGGATAAAAGCAATATTTTTTTTATTGGATTGAATTCTTTTACTGAAAATGGCATTGCACATAAATTTAAATCTTGCTTCTTATGTGCCTTTTTGTGACCCTGAGCATGTGAGAGTATGAATCTCATCATTTAAGAAAAATTAAATGTTACTGATATAGCATCTTTTATATTTTAAAGTAAAGCACATACAATATATCAGATGACCCTCTGGCGACAAACTTGGCGACAGTGGGAAGGAAAAAGTGCCTTTTAACAGGAAGAAACCTCTGGCAGTACCAGGGTCAGGGATCAGGATGAGCCATTAAAGATAACATAACAAGTTCCACATTGTGTCTTTTGTCCTGTCTTCCTCCCCTCACCCCCAACTAGATGGCAACTCCTCCCTAACCCTAGTTCTGCTGGAGGTTTCTTCCTGTTTAAAGGGAGTTCTTGATCTCCACTTTCACCAAGTTTTCTCATAGAGGGTCATGTGATTGTTAGGGTCTTTTCTCTTTTACAGTAGAGTCTTTACCTTACAATATAAAGGTGTGATATAAGTAAAATCGACTTGAATTAGATTGAATTAAATTTTCTGACCTCCAGTGTTTGTGTTGTTTTGTTTTCTCCAGAGGAGGAACTGAGGAAGCTGCGGGACGAGACCAGCGTGGACTCCCTGCGGCAGGAGCTCGAGAGGGAGCGAAGCAAAAGGATAGACCTGGAGCAGAAGATGAGCGATTTGCTCAAAACCAGGTGAGACGAGAAGACGGGACTGCAGAGTGAAGCACATGACGGGAAATGAGAGGACAAATGTATGAAAAGGGAAGTAATAGTTATGAAATGAAAGGAAAGGGTGACGCTGCACTTTGTAACAGTTCAGCTCAGCAGAGTTTACCACGGGGCAAGTTGGATGACGAGGGTGCCGGTGCTGCCCAAGGTTTCTGTTATAAATAGAAGCATCAACAGCTTGGTAGGCAGGAAATTCCACAAGGGTGTGTGTGTGTGTGTGTGTGTGTGTGTGTGTGTGTGCGTGTTATTAGGGAGATGGAAAAAGGGAGAGGGAGGAAAGAAAACGAAAGGAGTCACGCGCTTGTCTGAATCTCCTCGCTGTCACACAGATGCTATCCTGGTGACAGGAAAAACCCACGCCTCTTGGCATCTACTGGGATACCCTTTACACTTGCGGGTGTGCATGTCTCTCTCTCATGTACTGTGTGTGTGGAAATGTTAGCTTGAATGCCCATGGGAAATTCTGCTGGTATTCTTCAAGTGATTGCCAGCGCTGAAACATGGCCTCAGGACTATCGAAAGCAGTTTAGGAATTTGTAAGAGGTGAAGTTAATGTACTGTGACCTGCAAGTTTTCCACTGTTAATACTTTGTCAGCAATATCCAGCATGAGCATAACAGACAGCAAACATTTCTTCTTCACTGGTATATGATTGGAATAAACAGTAAAACAAAGCATTAACACATTCTGGAGAAGCCTTCTCTTTAGGGAGAAGATCAATTCTGTCTTACGCTAGAATTTCCTGTCCATTACAAAGAAATATGACTGCAATTAAAGCCTTATAGATAAAAGAGCAACAAGTTTGCCGGTGCCAGTTTGCTCTAAATGTTGTTTCATCCATTTGTAACTACCACTGCAGTGCCTGTTCAGGACGTTTTATGGAATAAGAATGGCTGTAGGGATGCACTTATTGAATGTGTGTGTTTGTAGCTGTGCAGGATGGGTGATTTGTGGGTAGGCCCTCCCTAAAGGACCAATGAGTGATTTCAGATTTGTCATTGAGATTTATTTAAGTCAGACTGATGCAGATGCCTTTAGTTTTTGCAGGATATGGATAGCTGAATTAATGTGTCTGAAATTAAAGGAGGATGTTTGCTGTACCTTATCACCCTTTTTCATTTTTGTTGGCACTGATCCTTTTGTCTCATTGTGTGAGATTTTAACAGTAACCTTACTCACTGTGATAACAGGCAGAGTGAATCTTTCTAGTCTGGCTCTGTGTATGTCTCTTTGCCTTTTGTGGTGATCCGTTCAGTGCAGCAGCTTTCAACATGCTGGCTCATGTACTTCTTAAAGTGTGAGATTGCAGTTCTGACAATACAGAAGTGAGACTGACACATGACAGATCTTTCCCTTAGTTTTTTCGTGACTATGTGTGTGTCTGTCCCTTCCCTTCAGGCTAGAGGACTCTCCACCACAACCTCCCAGAAAGCAGCAGTCGCCCTCAAACAACAGAACAGGTAAGACTCCAAGTGGACGAGAAATGGGGGGGTGAAGGTGGGCGAGTTGGAGTCTAAGGGAGAGGAAATGAGTCCTTGACGTCTTCTGAGTGTGGGAGTAAATCAAGAGGAGAGTTTGCGTGTGTGTGTGCACATGTGCAGGGGAGGTGAAAGTGTAGGATGCGTGCAACGGAGCGCTCGATGGGAACAGAGTGGGTCGGAAGGGTTTGTGGGTTACTCTAGGACACGAGGCAGTATGTAGTGTGCGTGACAAACACACAGACACGTGCACGCAAACAGAGGGGTTTCCTGTGTGTGCTGTCAAGAGCAAGTAAGCAACACAACAAACCACATTAATGCATCGAGGCTGGTTCCTATCATTAGTCCAGATCGTCGCTGTTAAGAATGAGTCGGTTTTCAAAATATTTGCGCGAGGGACAAATGAGACAAGCTCATTAGGGCAATAACGGTCAGATTCTGATATGTGCTTTCTTTTGGTTTCAGGCTGAACAGTTACTCTCATAGGTTGACTTTCAGTGATCCAGAGATTGGTGTGTGTTTGTGTGTGTGAGATATTAGTGAAAGGGAGGGTGAGAGAGTGAGGCTAATTTTGGAAAATGGGTTATGATTGTAGATCACTTCATCTAGGGCAGACATAAGAATATGTTAGGCCGGCTTATGCAGATCCAGGTTTGGTAAAGTGAGGCGGTCAGTTAGTGGCAGCCTGTGAGGACTGCAGCACATCTCCTTCATCCACAGTTTACTGCGGTTCAGCCTGGAGTCTGTTCAGAGATTTTTAGCTCATTTTTCAGCTTTAAATAAATTAAAAGATTTGTGTTAAATTGAATCTTCCTTCCTGTAGTTTGACATCAACATCTACATATATAACAAAGAGGTCCAGAGCGTGATCGTGCACCCACGCAAACGATCGCCATCATTTGAAACTTTTAAAGTTGTGTGTTTGCAGAGTCAACCTCCTGCTGCAGCAGTTACAGCACCCTAAACTTTGTAACACATTTCAGTGGTGATGTGGCTGTGATGTCACTAAAGGTCAAACTATAAAGAGCAAAAAAAGGAAAGGAAAAAAAAAAAACCCACATTACCACCATGAAGTGAAAGCGTTGCTATGTTACCCTCAGTCACATGTTAGTTTAAATGAGCTGGCACTCAGCTACCAAAGCCCTGCCGTAGATAATGTGAAAGAGAGAAATCGCGTCTGTTTGGGCCCTGGCAGTGGTGGCTTTGAAAACTGTAAATGTAACTGCTTCCAGCTGAATCGCATCATCTACAGCAGAAAACTGTATTCATTCTCATATGGCAATAAATGTCTGAGCAGTCAGGCTGTTAGTCACCTGTGGGTACTACCACAACAAATTAGTGTTCACTTGAAACACCACAGCAGATTAGAGCTCTAGTTTTTGCTCAGGGGCACTTCAGCATTAGCAGTTGACTGTTGTCCTTGTTTTGACTGGCAAGTATGCAGTTTATGAGGATATCAGGCCCACCAGGCTGTTTTACTGCATGCAGAGAATACTAAGGTTATAAAATCCAGGCAGTTATTTACAGTAAGTCAGCTTATCGTGTAGAAAACACGGATTCATTACACAAAGTGCAAAGTATTTTTTTTATATATATATATTTATTCACACGACAATAGCAAATTTAGCTTTTATGTAACAGCACAGGCTGCAAAGCTCTGTTGGTTCAGCTCACACCTTTCCACACAGCCATGTCCACCTGCCTGTGGTGATCCTGACTGTGTCATTTCTGTGGCTTAACCTGTAACAAGACTTAATAATGCAGAAAAAGCAGACACCATGGCCCAAAGCTCTCCCAATCATGTGCTTAGAAACACAGAAGCAGGCCTGGTGTGAGTCCTTGAATTTGCTCAGCTACCGTTGGATAATCACTGTCTGAGACCAGGCTTAAGTGGTCCAGTCTGGGTCCCATGACAGGGCAGGAGATAGGGTTGGAGTAAGAGTTATTGATAACATAAGCCCATCACATATCAGTGATTTTCTTTTAACAATGCATAATTGTTGGTGCAGGGGATTACAAAACTAAGTCGTGCTTATAGCAGCAAATCAAAGTTGATGTGTTTTCTTTAGCAGAGAAACAGCAGAAGGAAGTGTGGAGTTCACGGCTGCAGAAGTGGCTGTACGAGCGCTTCGGGGTTTACATGGAAGACTTCCGCTTCCAGCCGGAGGAAAGCACAGTGGAGGCTGAGGAACCGCTAAGTGCTAAAAGGTGGGTGAGATGTGGTCCTGAGCAGAACATAACTCCTCGGGTTGTTGAAGAAGATGTGGAATCGGAGTGCCCGGCGAGCATAAAAGCTTGTACCCTCACCCTGTAGCTGTCTCTGGTTTGATTTTGCACAGAGGAAGTGTTTTTGGTTTTTTTTTCTCATCGTACTTATTTTCTCTCCTCCTCTGTACAGAACAGTGAGTCATTACAGACGGATGAAGGCCAAAGTGTTAACACTTCCCCTCTCACATAAAGCAGCATTTATTTTTTTTGCGTGTATGTCAGCATCTACGCGTAATCTGACCTTCACTTTCTTTTGTTTTCCATCCAGGTTGACAGAAAACATGAGGCGACTCAGTGAGTATAAGCTTTTACTTGGCATCCTCTACATAATAATGATAATAATAATAATAGTAATGATATCACTAACACACATTCATGCAATACTCTAGTTCTGTGTATTGTAGATCTAATTTTTTTTTCTCCTTTTGAACATTTCGACATGTAGTTAAATATAAAGTCCTGGAAAATTTCACAGTAAAAGCCTGATTCACAAAGATAACCAAAAGTAAAGACATTGCTGCTCTGTCTTTAGCTTTACACTCTCAGTGAATCCCTGTGTCTTTGCTGTTTCAGAGCGAGGAGCCAGACCTGTCACCAACTTCTTAAGGAACCTCTCCGCCTTATCTAATTGGCACTCCGTGTACACCTCAGCTATTGCCTTCATTGTGAGTCTTACACTTACACATGTGAATTAATGTTTTAACTTTGTCTAATAATCGCGCTTCGATATTCTCTAAAAGAAAACTTGAGGTTAGTTGTGATACAGGATTACCTGCCATAAACTGCTGATGGCTTCTGCACAGTTTGGGTGTCATTGACAGCTGTGCTGCTTCTGTCATCTGCCGTCTCTGTCACTTTGACACCTTGCACTACATTTTCACCACCCTGCCTTTATTTGACTGCAGTTGCGACTTTTTCCTCTTTTCTCTAAATCGAATCCACAAATAGGTGAGACTTCATAGAGGATGCAGGGCAATTGTGATGAGAGAGAGGAAATTGATTTAGTCGAATTTTGAGATCAAGACTTCTTGCTTGTACTTTACAGCAGTTATTATATGTATTCAGTGTAGTTCCTTATTATCCCAACGTGATTTTTTTTTTTTTTTTTTTTTAAATTTTGGGTCTCTAAAATCAACCAGTCTGGAAAAGGAGTCCGATGATAATTTTGGACAGCAGGTACGACCCTTTTAATAGAAAAGAGTCGTTTCTGTAGTTTTACTCTGACCTAATTGTCTTACAGCTCGTGGCCGGGAGATTAAATGAATATTAAAGTCATGTCTGCTTCACTGTGATGAGTTGCAGTGATTCTGCCAGCGACTGCAGGCCTAATCAGAGCTTCATTAATGTCCAGTCAGTGGTTATGCTAAATCATCCTCAACCCACTGATTATGGCCCTACACCATCTCAGTATCCAGACGTGATGCTGGTTTAGTGTTGACAGGTGACTCAGCGTCTTCCACTGCTGATATATCACCCAAGTATATGCGCTTCAGGCTTACAATGAGCCCCCTGATTCCTCTTTATGTCCATCTTATAATTCATTGCCGTTATTGACTGAAAGAATGTGTCCTCGCTGCTATAAAGTGCTGAATTTAATGCATATCGGTTGTTTATTAAAGAACAACAAACCACGTTAACCTGTGTATATATTGTCCTTTTTTTCCCTTTTGAATCCAGATTTACATGAATGCTGCTTGGCATGGCTGGGCCATTCCCATGTTCCTCTTCCTGGCTATCCTACGCTTGTCCTTAAATTACCTCATTGCCAGGTAAAAACTGTCATTTATTTACAAAAGCAGGATCATTTTTGCCTCAGCTGTTGCTTCACGGTTGAGCTCGATTGTTTGTAAAAGGCTACAGTCCGATTTTCAGCTTTTAGCGTGATTAATTGTGCAAAACACCCACATTAACATCAACTACTGCGGCCACAGCTGTGCTGGTAGTACACAGATGCACACCGCGGCCCTTAGTCACACAGCAAATGTTTGTTAAAACCGCCAGATTTTAAAAACATGCACACATTTGTGCATGTTTGGGGTTGTTGTAATTGTTGCTACAAAAGAGCAGTACTTGGGAGCTCTGATTGAAATCAGAGCTCCCAAGGCTGGAAAAGTCGGTCCTTTAAAGTTGATGTTTTGCATTGAAGGAATAGTTGCCTTATAACATGTGCATTATTTATACCTTCTATTTTTCAGAGGTTGGAGGATCCAGTGGAGCATTGTGCCTGAGGTCTCTGAACCCATGGTAAGATGCCTTCCTGCTGTTGTTGTTGTTGTGCAGGTCAGAATGAAATGCATCCAGGACTGGAGATCAACGTGTGGTTTTTGTGTGTGTGTGTTGTTAAAGGAGCCTCCAAAGGAAGACTTGACTGTGTCTGAGAAGTTTCAGCTTGTACTTGACGTTGCACAAAAAGCACAGGTATAACGAGGTTCATCTAACGATCCAACCGCTGCTCGAAACAAGACAAACTCTTTAATGAGGTGCTTTTAAATCTCTTCCAGAACCTCTTTGGAAAGATGGCTGATGTTTTAGAGAAGATAAAGAAGTGAGTGGTTTTGTTTCAGCCTGACAATCAAGTGTGCAAGAAATGCACATAACTTATATACTGATGTGTATTCTGTCCTCCTCCTGCTGTCTGTTTCAGTCTGTTCATGTGGGTGCAGCCAGAGAGCACCCAGAAACTTTACGTCTGCCTGTGGGTGACTTTCATCACCTCCTGCGTCCTGCCGTACAAACTGCTGGGCTTTATGATTGGTGAGTGATGTTCACAAAGCATCTTTTTGATTGTGACAATACGTGAACTCAGTCACAAACAGATGCAGAACTTGTGGAGCCGTACTCCCTCAGCCTGTGTGGGGAAGCTGTGGGCTATTTGCATATAGATCTTATACATAATTACTACTTTTTAGCATCTCCCAAACCACTATGCACTCAGACTTTCTTGAAAGGTGCTCGGAGCAAACTGTTGGCATAGAAGCTGCTGTCATTTAGCCAAATTTCCATCTAGCACTTCATTTCTCCATTTAAAAGGAATGAATAACCAAAATCAATGTATGCTTAAAAGCTGCACTGGACATTTAAACAAAGTAAATATACTGACATTTATTATTTCAGATCCCATCTAAGATTTCTTCAGTGACTCATTTCAATTGGAGAAACAAAACAGACCACACATTCAGCGTGACTGGGAATGAGGGCTTTCTTTTCTGCGCAGATAGCTAACTGCATTTGGAGACAAAATTAGAGGCAAGGCTGAGATGGTTTGGACATGTGCAGAGAAGGGAGAAAGAATATATTGGACGCTGAGGATGGAGCTGCCAGGCAGGGAGATGAGAGGATGACCTCAGAGGAGGTTCATGGGTGTAGTGAAGGAGGACATGCAGAGGAGGATGGGGTGAGATGGAGGCAGATGATCTAATGGGAGCAGCTGAAAGAAGAAGACAGCTAGCTGAGCACATTGTTACATTGTGAACATGAAATGGAAAAATGTGACAGAGTGCAGAGGAAACCAGTCTGTGTTGGCACAAAGTGACATCGGCAGGCTGTATTGCACCCATCATGGGGAAAATCCCCACATAGTCTGTACATGCAGAGCCACTGCCTTCTGTAGTATGTGTGACTCTGGTTGTGGGTAATTGATACCAACAGGGAAAACAATAAGGAATGGCAGGAGCCTGGAGACCTGGCAACACACGGCAGCTGCATGACAGGCTCCAAATACAAAACAATTATAATAAAAACGTTCCCCCAAAGAGAGTCCAGCCAGTTTGTAAGCGGGCGTCAGCTGGTGGGTCAGTCATCGGAGCCCAGTTCATGTAGTGGAGAAGAAATCTGTGGTCATGTGTGCATCTGTCCCACATCAGTCTCATCGGGAGCTCTTAGGCTGGTTTTCCATCGAGTTTAACTGGAAATTGGAACCTCTACTCATGATTGGAAGCTTTTCATTATTCTGCACTTTATTCTGTAAATCTGCTGTTTTACCATGAGGAGAAAATCTGACTGGTGTATTGTTGGTTATCCAGAGCCTCCGCAGCTCAGCAGAGTCACTTTGAGCTCCAACATATAACTGGCTCAGTGTCTGTATGTGCAAGAATGGGCAAAATGCTGAAACTAGTGACGTCATCAAGGTCAGCGGCAAGGACTACTTTGGACAGGGGGGCGTCACCTATTTGGGGCATCCCTTTGTCTGTCAGTGAGGCACATCTGAGGGGTTATTTTCACTAAACGGTGTTGCTTTGCATCATTTAACCTCTTTTATTTTATATTTTTTTTAAGAATTAATGTGTCTGTGATTACTCTCTTTGCAGGCGTGTACGCCGGCATCAAGTTCTTCATCATAGACTTCCTGTTTAAGAGTTGCCCGAAGCTCCGCGACAAGTATGACACGCCTTACATCGTGTGGAACAGCCTTCCCACCGACCCCCAGCTCAAAGAGAGGACAAACGCCACGGTGTCGAGACGGGTAAGGCGAACAGACCCCAACACCAACCCACACGCGTTTTCTACCACCAACACTGCTTCCTGTCTCAGGTTCTTGATTTTTTTTTTTTAATTAAAATCTTAAATAAGAAAATATTTCCTCCTTTAGCCCATCACAATTTCAAACTTAAAGACCTGAGTTGTTAACTGGTTTATACCACAGAGGCTTTCAGTTGCATTGCAAAACTTCTCCCAGGCTAGAAGTTTGAGTGAATTCACATTATTTGCAGATTAATATATAAGCAATCATCTCAAACACACACACAAGAAGAAAGGCACATATACCACCTCCATGTGGGTGTGGATCATCCATCAGCAGCAGGTCGGGTCCAGTCTTTCATGTTGTCAGCAGTCCACCCACTATAGCCCACCTCCCACTGACTCCCTTTGTGGTGGATAAAAATAGATCAATAAAGTATCAAAACTATGGCGCTAGCAGCCTTAGCCCAATTTCCCTCGGGATGAATAAAGTATGATCAATCAATCAATCAGTATATCACCCCTCCTGTCAATAATGCAATACAATTGAGCCCGTGATTGTTCTGTGTGGCTACCACAAAGTTCCTCTCTTACATGAATGTCTGAGTGTGTGTTTGCTGTGGCCGCAGTCACAGGTCTGCTCTGTCGTTTCTCTCTCTCAGCTCTCTGGCACTGAGAAGGTAGGGCCTCTGGTGTGTCTACTCTACTGTGCTTGTGTGTGCTGCCAGTTCACCACAATGCGTGTGTGTGTGTGTGAGTGATGTGTGACACACCTAGTGAGTGGCTGTCAGTAATTTGTGAATGCAGTGGATCAAAATGTCAACAAAACGGTCTGCGATTTTCCTTTTTGCTCTGACACTGCGGTGTTTTTATTCTCTTTTGTTTGAATGATCTTTAAGAGCCTGCAGCCCCGTGACATTTTGGATCCACGAACATAGATGCTTGTGAGAATTGGCAGTGTGTTTACTGAGTAGGCACGTAGAGAAGATTTGACGAGTGTAGTTTCATGTTAGCACATTAATATCGTCCTGTTCCCCTTAAATACACCATAACTGCTGTTAGATCATTAGATTAAAACTCTTATGTAAAGAGGCCTGCATAAAAATGAACCGAACAGTTGATCTTACCATCGAGGTGGTGGCCACAGGCCACTGCTCTCTCCTTCTCCCTCTGACTGATTTTTCTCTAGTTTTACTTTTTTCTCATTGTTCTTGTCACTGCTGTTAGCATGAGATGGACCCGCAGAACAGGCTGTCCATCTCCTTCAGGGTGATGCATCCACGTGTTGTCACAAGAAGGTTTGCTGTCTCCCAGCATAGGAGTGTGGAGGAGGTACTAGGAGCTGGGCCCATTGCAAGAGTAAAGCTGGACAGGGCCATAGATGGGCATCAACCCAGCAGCAGCACCAGTATCTGTTCCTCTGTGTGAGGAGGAACAGGAGGAGTACTGCCAGAGCTCTACAGAATGGCCTCCAGCAAGCTAATCATGTGATAGAATCAGACTGCAAGAGGGTGTTATAAAGTCCTGGTGTTTTTAATTTGACCTGCGCTCACAGCACCATGCAGCTCACGCATTTGCTCGTTGGCTTTTGGGTTTGTTTTTTTTGTTTTCTTTTTTTTAAGCTTCAGGACCGTGAGGACTTCATGCCACCTCTTGGAGTCTGATTCTGTTAGTTTGATCAGAAACATGCACAGGAAGCCTGCTGCAGGTCATTCTGCAGAGCTTTGGTACAGAAAAGCAGATGTGCTGCTAAACTTATGTAATGCCCGCCTCCTGGTTTCTCCCCCTTTTTCCCGTTGGCACTCGTGGATTTGATGTGTCGTCCTTGAGGAGCTGGACTAGCTCTATAACCTGAGTGGGCTGCAGGTGCAATATCTGCTACCAGCAGTGATGAGGACTCCATCAAAAAGTAGAAGTGGCGTAAAATCAATCAAGAGGCGTGATGGCCCGTTTATGCTCGCCAGTTTTTTCCCACATGACAAAAGTGGAGTCTTTTTGCGCCACCACAGGTTTAAGAAACAATTGTGTAGCTCTTTCAGTTTTAATGACACATCAACACAGAAGCTCAAAGATTCACAGATTATATATATGAGGAGATGTTGAAACAGTATAGGAAGATCAGACTTTCTGGAAAAAATTTTAGACTTCTGCTCCTGTACTGTACCAGCGCTGATGTGGAGGCTTTTCCTGATCATTCAGGAGAGTACTGCAGCGTATATTCACACCCTCAGTGCTGGTATAAATGCTACCAAGCCGTGATGACCTTGCTGTTTGGTTGCAAATTGTGTGGTGAGCGTAAATGGGTGATAAGGAGCGAGCCGGTGTGGCCACCTCCTGCAGAATGACTCCTTTTTGTGGTGTTGCCTCTTCAGTGCACCTGCAGCTGCTTTCATTTGCACCGACGCAGCTGAAATGGTAATGGAGTCACAATGGTTTATGCTTGCTAACTGGAGAGATCAGTAACCCTGAAGTTTATCTGACTTTGTCTTGTGACAACCAACGCTGGTGTAAGTAAAACTGTAAAACTGCAGTGGACACGAATGTTTTTGGTAAACGTGTGTTGTAGGTAATTTATGGATGCTGACTTGAATGATGGCCTCACTCTTTGCTTTGCACGTCACTCCTGAGCCTGCTGTGAAGAAAGCGCACATGATGCAACCTCAAAAGTTGGGGAGCTGTTTGAAGTTCGGCCACTTGTCTCTAAAGCTGCGGGATACTGTAGTTCACACAGATTTATAAAACCTCATCCGCTGAGTTTAATGTGACTCTTTCTCTCTGTCCTTTTATGTTCTCACTTTTTTCCCCTCCTTTTTTTTTTTTTTCCTTCCCTCCATCCTCCTTCCCCTCTTCCCTACTACTCTCTCCAGGTCCAGCCGGTGGTTTCTCGTGGAAGCCTCGCCAACGTCCCGTGTGGGGGGAGCAGAGAGGAGGACAGCGGTCGCTCTCACAGCACCAAGAAGGGAGCTTTCCACGAGATTTTCAACCTGCCAGAGTCAGAGCGCCCTCTGCCGGGTAAGAGCAAGTACTACAGTTTTTTATTTATTTATTTCCTTTGGCACCCATTTTTATTTCTGTACATCCAACTTAAAAATGTCTAAAAGCTGGAATCATGTGTTTTCTGTGAATAACGCTCCTTCATCATCTTGTATGCTGTTTGTTCACAGTCTGTGAAAATGGCTGGAGGTGTTGCCTGATAAACCGAGACAGGAAGATGCCCACAGACTACATCAGGAACGGGATGCTTTACGTCACGGAGAAGTAAGTGGAACATCTTTGTCTCAGGGGAGAGCTCTATCGCATCAAATCTCTGAGCGGAGGAGAGAAGCAGCACTTCCATTTACAGGTGGAGCAGACGAGAGGAACGGAGATTCATTAGTCCAGAGGAGACGTAGTTTTAAGTTGCGCTGAGCCTCATCTCTCCTCCTCTCTGTGTAGCTCTGTGCAGGGTAGCCTTCCTCCTGAGAACACTCGACTCAAGACTTTATTACACGTCTGTTCAGTTTGGATGGTTTTTTGGTGTCTCTGTTTCCCTCCTTTCACAAAGCTCTCTGTCTCTCTCAGTTACCTGTGCTTTGAGAGCTCCAGCTCCAGATCGAGCTCCTCAAAGAAGCATAAAGTCATCAAGTTGGTGGACATCACTGACATACAAAAGGTAATGACTCAGTAATACGCATAAGGAATGTCTCGAGGCCAGCAGCCTCTCTAAAACTGGATAATTACTTACTTTAAATATTAATAATGAAACGAATGTAATTCTATTCTGGTGTGTGTGTTTAAAGCAGATATTTCTGGTTTTCTCCTCCACAGTACAAAGTGTTGTCAGTCCTACCAGGAAGTGGGATGGGCATTTCAATAGCCACTCCTTCCACTCAGAAGGTACAGACTTTGTATATTTATTATTATGTTTGCAGTCGTGATTTCATTTGCTTCAGCTGAAGCTCAGTCCAATATCTTAATAATTATCTGCTATAGATGTTGTGTTTTTGTCCTTTCAGTCAGTTTCAGACAAGTCGGCAGTAATTCTCCAGTATTGCATGTGACAAATCGAAATTCACAAATGTGAGCTGCTGTGGGTTTCTGTGGGCGTTTCATTAAGATTTGATTTACGAGCCGATTAGTTGGCCATCAAGGATGTTACCGGGTAGCTAGGTGACAGAGCTGTAGCATCAATAATTTTCCTACTGAGGAAGTAGAGAAAGAGGTTGGTGAGATTATTGGGAACAGTCATGTCTATAACTTCTGTTCCCTTTCAGTCGATTCACTCGGTACAGCACACGTAGTATTAGATATCACTGCTCCACAGTACTGAGTGAACCGACTGAAAGGGAAGAGCAAAGATTGTAGGTACTGTACAGTGTTTACCACCACATGAACATAGGTATACGCCGATCAGGCATAACATTATCAACACTTATTATCTCTGCATTGTGGCGCCTGTTAGTGGATGCTAATTATTAGTGAGAAAGTGTCCTCAAAGTTGATGTTAAAAAAAATGGGTCACATTGTGATGGCTAGACGACTGGGTCGGAACATTTCCAGAACTGCAGTTCTTGTGGGCTGGTCCAAAGAAGGAATGGTGGTGAACCAGCAACGAGGTCATGGATGCACGTGAGGAGTGAAGACTGGCCCGCGTCGTCCGATCCAACAGACGAGCTTATGTAACTCAAGCTGCACAAAACGTTCTGGTTCTGATAGAAAGGGCTCAGAATACAGAACATTGCAGTTTGCTGCAAATCGGGCTGAATAGCTGCAGACCAGCCAGGTGTCCGTGCTGACCTCTGTCCACCACTGAAAGCGCTACCACTGGCATCAGAACAAGACCACGGAGCAATGGAAGAAGGTGACCTGGTCTGATGAATGTTACATCACATGGATGACCTGGCACCAGGATGCACAATGGGGCAAAAGCAAGCCTACAGAAGCAGTGTGATGTTTTGGGCAATGAAATGTTGGGAAACCAGCATATCCAGGTCATCCAACAGTCTAAAGCAGGGGTGCCCAATCCCGGTCCTCGAGAGCTACCGTCCTGCAGCTTTTAGATGCATCCTTGTTCCCACACACCCGAATCAAATGAATGGCTTGTTATCAGGCCTTTGCCAAACATGATGGCATGCTGAAGAGGTAATCAAACCATTTGATTCAGCTGTGTTGGAGTAGGGATGCATCTAAAAGCTGCAGGATAGTAGCTCTCGAAGACTGGGATTGGACAGCCCTGGTTTAAAGCATTGTTGCAGACCATGTATGCTGTTATGAAAACGGTGCTCCCTGATGGCTGTGGTCTCTTTCAGCGGGATAATGCTCCCGCAGCAAAGCAAAAACGGTTCAGGGATGGTTTGGGGAGCACAAGAACATGTTTAACACTCAGATTTCCTCAGATCTCAATCCCGTCGAGCATCTGCGGGATATGCTGGACGCGCTGGAGGCCCCACCTCACAACATACAGGACTTCAGGGGTCTAGTGGAGTCCATGCCTCGTTGAGTCAGGGTTGTTTTGTCAGCAAAAGGTTTTACTAACACAATATTATTCAGCTGGTCATAATGTTATCTCTAATCAGTTTGTATTTAGATCATCTAAAGGTTGGACTTTGGCGCCCCCAAGTGGAAACTCGCTGTAATTTTTTATGTGCAACTGTTCATTTGTTTATGGTGTAAAATTTCCCTTTATTGGTTGGGATGACAGCGGTTATTACTGTTGTTATTATAATTTTTGTTATTATCAGCTTCTGTTTGAGACTCTTGTTGCTGTCTGTACTCATGATGTGCTAAATTTTTCCAGATAAATTGCTACACTCATTTCCTTTTAAGCTAACTTCCCCCTGATTGGTTGGTTGGCTCTCACATAGAGATAATTTGAACATGTGGGTGGGGCTTCTGTGCTTACAGAGTGTAGGGGGGGGGGTCTCTCGATGATATCATATAGAGCCAAGAGTAGAAAGAAACCCTCCTAAACAGAATGTGTACAGAAGTTTGAACCCTGAGGTTTTGCTCGCAGGGATTACTTGCACATATGCCGGCCCAAGGCGGGGGCCACGCCAATAAGCTAAACTCAATTTTCTTCTATTAATTTTATTACTTTATAAACATATCGGTGCTTTGCCCTTGGGAAAATTAACTGCCCACCACTGCACTGACCTCAGTGTTTAAAACCATGCCTGTGTTTGGTATCAGTAGCCCAGTAGCCATCATCATAACTTAATAATCCCACTTTAATCTTAATAATCTTTTATAATAACTCTATTATCAGGGAAAATATACTCTGATACCATCACAGGGCATGCAACAGTGTGACTGCTGCGTGCTGCTGAGAATGATGCTTTCCTCCATGTTCCAGCTTTACTGAAGAGGTTTTTTTATTCCAGTTTAGTTATGTTTGTTGTTGTTTTTTGCCTAGTGCTGCTTTAACTTGGCAGCAGATTCTATTTTATTTATTTATTTTTACCACAGTAGAAGCACACTAACAGCCAAGGATCTCTGTCTCCTCCAGCCATTGGTGTTTGGTGCCATGATCCACAGGGACGAGGCTTTCGAGGCCATCTTCACCCAGTACATGAAGATCGTGACCAGCAAACCGCCGGCCAGCGCCGAGCTCTAAAGAGCCTTCAGCACTCCTCCGCCGGGGCTGAAGTCTGATGCAGAGAACCTCCCGAGTCTCAGCCGAACTGGATGACATTCTCTAACGCCGCACTCTTCGACCGTGTGTGAGCTGCCTCCTCCTCTTCCTCATCATCATAGTCGATGATCTCGGCCCAGTTGGTGGATTTTTCTGCTTAGGCCACGTTAGAGGGAATATGTGGGTGTAGCTGGTGTTTAGTCACATGACGCTTTTCCTGTGGGTGATTATGGACAAAATTTGCTAAGAGAGGAGGATGATCAGTGTGGTTTTATCAATCATCAGGAGGCTGGTGAGGGAGGCTGGCCTCCTCTCCCACCTGCTGACCACTTGACTTAGCTGGCTGTGTGTGTGTGTGTGTGTGTGTGTGTGTGTGTGTGTGTGTGTGTTAATTTGCATCTTAAGTGACTCTGATGTTCTCTACTGTGGTAGGAAGACTTCATACAGCTCTCATCAACCTGGATGTATTTAAAAACAAACAGTTCAAACTGCCACATGTGTAAAAACGAGCTTTTCCAAATCACTGCAAAAACAAATATTCAGACAGGCTGAGCGGTGCTTCGCCTCATCCATGGCTGTATTTTAATTTAATTTTTTTTAAATAAAGTGTATTATTAGCTGTGATGACTGCTGACACGGGAGCCTTCCTTAGTTTACACCACCGCTGGCTTGGTCTCTCTTGTCTTGACGAAGCAAAAACGTCCACTGCTGCGTTCGGCATCCGTGTTTGTGAAACAGTGCAGTGACGTTTTCATGTTAAATGCCTTTATTTTGAAAAATGTCTTTTGGTCTTTGTAACAGATCCTTTTTTTTATTTTCTCGACAAGAGCACAACACCGCCTGCTGTTTAAACTCTCGACACATGGAGACCATTTATTTGTCCCGTCTCTGCTGTTCTCCCTGCACTTTATTAAAAACTGGAAATGCTGACGTGTGTGTGTGTGTGTGTGTGGCAGCGCACGGATGTTATATGTTGGTCAGTGTTAGAAACCACTGCAGTCTCATTATTACAGCCTTCCTCTCCTCGACTCGAGGCCATGTTCAGCTGGTCTCTCAGCAGAAAGAACAGTCTGAGCGCTTTGTATTAACGGCAGATTGATGTCTGCACGCTGCACCAGACAACCATCAAACTGGCTGTGAAAGCAGGAGTAGAAGATACTCTAACTGGCACATTTCTCCACACAAAGGCCCGTAAAGGCCTTTCAGCTCACTGTATCCTAAACCTTCTGAAGTCTCCTTCTGATTGGGTGACTCTACTTGTATAAGTGCTCAGCTCTTTGAGTTCAGGCTGTATAGACATGCCTGTTTCTCTTCTTTCTGCAAACACCACAGTGAGTGCTCTTCCATGTGTTCCTCTTCATCTAAATGTGAGCTGATGTTTGTTTTTTGTTTTGTTTTTTTTAAAAGTGTGTACATGGATAAAGGTCTTGCTTTATTTCCAGACGCTGTTCCCGGGAGCGAAGCGGGTCTTTGCCCCTCTGCGTTTATATGTAGAAGTGTATAATGCCAAACTACATCAGACACTTTAAGGTGTTTTGTGAGGCGGAGATAAAGGGCTGGAGGTCAGTTTCTCTTTAGCTCTTTGTATTTGAGATGACGGAGTAGGTGCTCCACACTCCTAGCTAAAATCTTACAAAAACACTGTTGAAAGGGAGACCTTGACATTTTTCCCCGATATGTCACCGATCCTCAAGTAAAACCAGACTGCCCTTCAGGAACTGCCGTCAAGACTTGAAATGTCAAGGCTTCTCTTAAAGTCGATACGAGTCCTCTCGTCATCGCCGTTGTTTAGAGTCAGGCGGACTGGAGATGAAGTTGCCAGAGGTGCGATGGACCAGTTCAAACAGCTGCGTTTGATGATTATCTTAGTTAAAGCTAATGAAGGATGGATATTTTTCTTTGACATTTTCTTTTGTATGATTATAGTTTTGTTTTTGGTTTTTCGAGCCTGTTGCTAACAGGCTGCCTTTCCCAGACATGGATTTCTATTTTTATTGAGGAATAAATTCGATCCATGACCGGGGTGGGATATCTGAGCAGGTGGAATCAGTAGTTAATGCTGTCTCACTGTGTGACTGGCTGGCTTGTTGTAGTCTTAAAGCTGTTACCTGAAGCCTTTTTTCTAATCTGTTAACTGTGGCAGGCAGCTCTCAGCGGGGACTGCGAGACCCCGACGGGGCTGCACTCAGATAAAGCACAGAATGTATCACGTTCTAAATGTCTAACATTATTATTTTCTTTTGCCAAATATTTGATTTTGCAGTCTGCAATATTCTGCCTACGCTCATGTTTACAGAAGGTTGTACAAAATGTATTTCTTTTTTTCTCCTTTTTTTTAAACAACCCCAGTTTGAATTCCTTTACCTCGGGAGTTATGAAAACTGGACTGCTCTTGTTCTGGAATTGATGTTTCATCAGCTCGGCACCACTCTCATGACTAGCTCTGCTCAGCAACAGGATCAAACTCCAACCTTAGCAACACAAGCAGCTTTTTAACCCTCATACAGCATGTAAGCGTCCATATCCAGCATTGCAGTGATTGGTTTTTAGTGTAGTGGAAGCTGCCAGATTCCCACAGGAGGGCTTGAGCCTATCCCAGCTTTGGTGATGAACTGTCACATACCCATAACACCTTAATCTGTTCATTCAGCTGGTCCATAAAGTGAATAAGATACACAGATCGCTGAGGATGGAGGTGCCGTCAGAAACGACTGTGTTGCCTTCTCGAGGTCCTCTTCGTTCACGCTGGTGTCATCACTGTTGTATTAGCTATGTAGTTCCTCTAAGTGTGTAAATGTTGAAAGTTTTCCCATCTGCCTGATCCACGCTGTGTAGCTGTACTGGGGCTGCTCCGCGGCCTCGATCTGATGAATTAAAAAATAAATTAAACGGCACAATTAAAAAGAAACAAAACACACATCCTAAGGATTAAGTTGTACTTTGTGGACTGAGACAAAACCCATGATATTGATTGGTTAAGTGCAAATTAAAGCCCAAATGCAAAACACTGCAATCATTACGAGTTAGTAATTTGTCATCTGTGACGTGACGGGCTATAATGGCTTCCTTTTTCCTCTTTTTCTTTTTTTTCCCCCCACAGCCATTTGTATACAAATGATTGAATTGTACAGTGAAAAATACCACTGAGTTTTGAAAAAGATGTGTGTATTGTAAAGGATAATGTGATGTACTTTTTTTTTTTTTTTTTTTTTTAATTAAAAGAATTTAAGGTATTTTTAAGCCTTCTGTCATCTTTTCAACTGCAGTACCTCTCTACAGCCACACGGGGTCACTGTTGGACTTTGTGTCAACACTTGAAGCCTGAGAGAAGTGGGTTGTTTTTGTCCTTTTTCCTCATTCAGCCTCCCCACAGGGGGGGGTCAGAGGTCAGGCTAAGCTGCCTGGTGCATCTTGCTTGAGGATGTTTCTGTACTTTAGGAATACGAAAGTAGAGAGTTTAACATGCTACACATGCCTGACCAATTTCACTCTATTTTTATGGTGATTGGATGACCAAGGGATCTATAAAGAGGTGGAGGATGGCTTGTGGGCACTTTTTCTTGCTCTTGTGACACCAGCAACAATAAATCTAAGACCATCTCCTTATGCAAGCAAGTTTTTCCCCTCTCTCATTTAGCCAAACTCAATGAATCATGGTTTGGGCCACAGCTAAGTGTCTCATGGGTAGATATGAGCAAATATAACACCACAACACACTTTTGTTCGCTAGCAGCAGAACTAAAATAGCCTTGAGGACCGACATATTCACCCATCATGCCTCCTTAATGACAACACCCTATATAAAAATGTTTCCTCCATATACATCTATCAGTGTAGCATTACAGAGTTCCACATTCACTGCAGTTTGGCATAAATGGCACCTTTCCCCCCCGGTAGAGAATGAGAAGTTGTTTTTGTGCCACAGTAGAAATGAACTCCATATAGTGGATTCAAGCTGTGAAAATGAAAAACCTGTCTGAGTCCTGATTGGAAGGTGGCATTTGTATTTCTGTGCATGGAGAAGGTATGACTGCACAAAACCAGAGAAACATTCTCCTCTAGCTACAGTATACTTATCTTGGGTGTAACAGTTTCAGCTGAAGGAATAAAGGTTTCAAAAGGGAGCTGACAGAATACTTTCCTTTTAGAGAGTGCTACGCAGAAGTGCTTTGCGTCTGCATTTATTTGAGTCGCCAGCAGAGGGCGACTCCTGCGGACAACTAGACTGCAACTTAAGAAAACGCCAGCAACAAGAAAAACACTGCAAAAGCACACAAAACGCAACGGAAATAGGAAAAAAAAACAGATTTCCAAAAGCACAAGGGAAGTGTTTCTGGGGAGACAATAACCCGACGGACCAGTTGCAGGAACCAAAATATGCTACGAACTCCGCTGGGAGACACTTAAAAGAAGTGGAGGATCTATCGGTTTTGTGAGGAAAGAAAAGATGAGAGGTAAGTGTGTTAGCCTAACTAACAGCCTAAAAATCCGTCATCATGATTAAACACACCCACCATGTTTTGGGTTCCTGCAACTGGTCCGTCAGGTTATTGCCTCCCCAGAAACACTTCCCTTGTGCTTTTGGAAATCTGTTTTTTTCCTATTTCCGTTGTCGTTTTTCCAATTTCTGTTTTGTTTTTTTCCCCATTTCCGTTGTGTTTTGTGTGCTTTTGCAGCATTTTTCTTATTGCTGGTGTTTTCTTAATTTGCAGTCCGTTTGGCCTCAAAGGGGCCACCATAAGATTAGCTAAAAACTCGATGTATGTCGGCATGGTGCCGAGTAGGTCCTTAAAAAAAACTGAAAAAAGGAGTGTCAGACCTAAAGAAAAACAATCTACAGCAGGTGGACATCATCTTAAAGTTATATCTCTAGGAAATGCGGAAACAAACATTTTAAAGGAAGGGAAACGAGTAAGCCAAATTACTCAGAAACTGGACACTGGAAAATCTGTGGCTAAAGGTCCACATTTGAAGATTGTAGTTCACATAGGTGCCAATATGTATGGAGGAACTCAGAAGAGATACAACAGTGTTTCTGATTGGAATCACTTTTTGGCATGAGAATGATCCAAACTCACTGCTAATGCAGTGTACCTGGATAGAAAACACACAGTGGAACACTATCAGTCATGGACTGGCCTCCCCAGAGCCCAGACCTCAACATAATTGAAGCTACGTGAACGAAACAAAAGGCAGAAACATCCAAAGAAGAGCTTTGAATGTCCTTCAAGAAGCCCGGAGAACTAAGCTCATTAGAACTGAACATCATTTTCACTTTGTATACTTTATTTCCATGTGTGTTATTTTCCTAGCGAGAGTTTTGCACAGTACTGTACATCAGCTAGTTTTCATTTCAGTCCACACCTGACAGCTAAATGAAAGCTCTGCAACAGAAATGAAGTTATTATTAATCCTCAAAGAAACAAAAATCAATTTTTGCTCAAGTACAAGAAAAGCAACATTTCATCCTTAACAGATTTCCTGCCGAGGACTTGTCAAAGCTCAAACACACACTGATCCTGAACCCAAAGCGATTTATTTTTTTAAATCGGCTTTCAAAACAGCACCTTATTCAATGATCTTTCACTTTCTCCTTTGCTGGCAAACTATTTCAAGACGGTGCCAGAGAAGCAGTGTCATGAACTTAACACAGTTTAAAGGCTGTTTGAAGCGACACTCGGTAAATGACACCTCCGAGTCATTCAGGGGCTTCTGTCTACCCCGCTGCTTTGCTTGATGGATTTAGTGTATTTTTGGTCTTCCCAAAAGAGACATCATCAAACGTGACACCATTTGCCATTTGTGCACAAATGACAGAAGTGTCTGACAGCTTGGTGCAGGACACTAACCATGTCCTTTATCCTTTTAGCTGTGACACAAATATTCAAGTGCAAGTGCAAACTACTCTCAACCTTGCCAGCTTGTGCATG